TGAAAAAAATAGGCAATCATTATAATGTAATGACAACATCACATTTGGTCGAAAATAGTTTTACAAAACCTGAGCTCTGAAGACACCATGTGTGAGTAAGGATGAGGAACACATGTCCATTTTTAGCAGCATAATTCATAAACTGGTTTGCATATGCTTCCCATGGAGTAACATCCATTTCAGCACCACTACAAATACAAGTATAAATCAGTGTTACTTTGAAAATGTAATATGTATAAATTAGTTGAAGTAGAAAAGCAATGTAAAATTAAAGTAAGAGACCATTCATCAGATAATGTGAGGTTTACGTATGCCTTTTTTCCAGCACCTGATACTTGTGCTCTAACAACTTGTTGAATTGCACCTATTACGTCTGAAAGTAATATCATTCAAGGTTAGAATGGTGATAATAAATAACTGAACTTTATTAAGAAGAGAGTAGGACATTAAATACCGTAAAGGCGATCAACAATGAAATCTCCGTTTTGGAAATCAGTAAAGGACTTAAAGTAGAAGTTGTATTGTGGAATATCTGGTATGTCAACAACAGTGATAGTTGTGGAACGATTAAAAAATAGCTTGTATTTGTTATCACAAACTTTCACAGGCATGTCATACAACATCCTTTCACCGTTATAGACCATGTAGGTTTGATTTTTCTGCAAGTTATTCTTCCAAACATCAAGGTTGTGGGAGCGGGTTACAACATGGATCTGCTCAGCCTGTAAATGAAAAAATATTGAAACAATGTATAAAACTTTCGCACATTCAGGTTTAACAGATGATATAATCAATGAAAAATACCTTTGCATCTTGAATAATATCTTCAAGATACTGTTGGCCATTGTGTTCCTTGACGTTCCAGACATCGACGACATGAATAGCTATTTTTCATACATTTTGTTTAGGTTTCAGGTCGCATATCATAATAGGTGGTCGCGACATGGTTGACCGGTAAACTGAAAAACGAACCAGGTTTACATGATAATGAAACCTTTATAAAAATCAAATCTTTATAAAACTGAATAGTGAAAAAAACCTTAATAAAAATCATTCCCTTATAAAACTGAAAACTAAAAAACATATATGTTAGTCAAAGCTTTATAAAAATAAAACCTTTATAAAAATCAAACCTTTATATAACTCTTAGCTTTATAACAAATAAATGAGAGTTTCTAACATCCTAACAAATGTGATACACACTCAGAGATATAATCAGACAAGAAATATACAAAAATGGTGAAAGAAATGATGAACATTAGAAATCAAAACCCAGACAAGAAGATTATAAAAAGCAAATGTTATAAATGGTGAAACTATACAAAAATCAGAACTTTGTAAATGTCACAACTTTAGAAATCTCACAACTTTGTTAAATCAACTCAGAATCGTGGCAATAAAACATGATGAACAACAAGAATATTTGATGTTTTACCTGTGGAAGCCGGTTGGAAGAGAGAAGAAGTGGGAGAAAATGAGACTGGCTGGGATTATGCGGAGAGAGATTATGGAGGAAACATGAAGTGAAGAGTGAGAGGGAAGAGTGTCTTGTAATGGGGTTTTTGAAATTAGCATGCATATGTCTACTGAGTAAAGTATTGTTTCAATAAAGGTGAAGGGAAATCCATGGTTAATGTTGAGAAAAGGGTGCCACTTGGAGTAATGGTTAATTGTGATTGGGTGAGGCTGAAATTGATTTAGCAAATTACCATCAAGTGTAATTATAAGTGTAATCAAATTATGGAATAAGAGTAATTTAGGATGTTTAGTGGCATTTTACTTTCTTAGTTGGGTAATTGATTTAGGTTTCCTCAATTTTTCAAATGGCCAAAATACTCCTATGGATAAAAATAATACAAAAATCTGAAATTATAAAAATTAATGTAATTTAAAATAATTTTCTTTTAATTTTTCTAAATAAAAAATAAAGATTTAAAATGATTGAAAATGCTAAAAAATAGACATTAAATTATCCAAAAAAATAAAAATGAACACATTAAAATAAACTACAGATCACAAAGATTAATAAAAAATTATTCAAACGGTCAAAATCGAAATAAAATGAGAATGAAAATATCAAGTTGAACAAACGCTTACGTTAAGAACGAGACTTCAAACTGTACTGAAAAAATAAAGCGAGCATATCGTCATTATCTACGCGAAATATAGATTCATAAAACAATTAGTAAAAGGTGAAAACTTGAAATATTTTGTCGCTAATTTTTTGCACAATGTCGAATCGTTTTTAACTATCCGTTTGTAAAACCGAAATATCAATATTATCGACACATAAACAACTTGGAAAATGTGAGAAGTGAGTAAAGAGATAAAAATGCATGAAGTGAAATAACATATATTTTTCAACTATAAAACGATGTAAACATCGATTTAAACTGACTTTTGAACAACTTAAATACGACTAATGATGCAAAACGTGATGAATGAAGATGTTTATTGATGATTGTGACCAAATAATAAAATATGATATAATAATGCGACTAAAAAAATTTAGGGGCGAAATTTAGGGTGCAACACAGGTTATGAAACAAGATATAACCATCATCTTCTATTAACGAAAAATAACATGGAGAACCTGTCGAAGTTTAAAGAGCAGATGAAGAGAGAATTTGAAATGTCGGATCTGGGAAACTTGTCATATTTCCTAGGCATGAAATTTCAAATTACCAAGCAAGGTGTGATGTTGCATCAAAGGAAGTATGCCAAAGAGATACTCCATAGATTCAGGATGGATGATTTGAATCCTGCATCATCACCTGTTGAACCAAGTTTGAAGGTGGAGAAGCATGGAGAGGAAGACAAATTTGATGTCACTTTGTTGAAAGAAATTGTCGGATCTTTGAGATATGTTTGCAACAATCGACCTGATATAGGTTTCTTAGTCGGATTAGTGAGCAGATACACAAGTGAACTAATGATGTCACATATGAAGGCTGCAAGAAGAATCCTGAGATACTTAGAAGGATCAATAAACTGTGGAATTCTATTTCCACGAGATTCTGAAAGCAAAGAAACTACGGTTACTTGTTATTCAGATGTTGTTTGGTGTGGAGATAAGAAAGACCGAAGAAGTACAATTGGTTACTTCTTTCAAGTATTTGATCCCCCAATCTCATGGTGCTCAAGAAAACAAATTGTAGTGGCATTATCATCGTGTGAGGCTGAATATATAGCAGGATCACATGTTGCATGTCAAGCAATTTGGATCAGATTGGTGTTAGAAGAGATGGATGTTGAAGTGAAGAAACCTCTGGTGTTGTAAATCGATAATAAGTCAACCATAAATCTTGCAAAGAATCAAGTTCTGCATGGAAGAAGTAAGCACATCGAAGCTAGATTTCACTTCTTAAAAGAGAAGGTCAAACGTAGTGAACTTGAAGTGAGACATTGCTCAATTGAAGCACAGTTGGCCGATATTTTAATCAAATGAATGAAGATCGATAAATTCCTGAATTTGAGAAAGAAATTACGAATAGTTCAGATCAACTATGATTAGTTTATATTCGACAACTTGAATTATAAAAGAGTATGTCATGATATAATTCAAATTATAACTCAAATCCTAAATTAGTTAGAGTTATAATTTATTATTTTAATTACTTAATATACAAGTAATATATATATATATATATATATATATATATATATATATATATATATATATATATATATATATATATATATATATATATATATATATATATATATATATATATATATATATATATATATATATATATATATATATATATATATATATATATATATATATATATATATATATATATATATATATATATATATTCATTTTTACTGCTTCTAATAATAACAATTTTTATTTTTCATTCTCTTTTATTCTCTTCTCACTCAAATGTCTCTAACATTAACCTGAACTATAAAAAATGAGTGGTATATTCTCTTCTCACTCAAATGTCTCTAACATTAACCTGAACTATAAAAAAATGAGTGGTATAATATATATCAAATGAATCCAATGATATTTATTTACATTTTATTGTAAAAGAAAAGATGAAAAACTATTTTGAAAATAGTATTTTTGCTAGGATGGGTCTGTCATGATGATGAAATATATACTAGTACTAGTCAAGAAGTAAGAAAAGTATTTTGTCGACATTCCGAGAGAATTAATTGACTCATTTTCGTTTAACTTGTCGTGTGGGTTTTGATTTTGTGCCAACCCGAAACAACCAGGGAATTGCTTCTTCCAACGTGCCTCCTCTGTTATATAATTCCCACTAAATCAACACCAACAAAAATCCACTAAATCACTTCAAAAAATATTATATAATTCCCACTAAATCAACACCAACAAAAATCCACTAATTCACTTCAAAAAATATATACTAATACATATTAATAATTATTTTTCCGTCTCATAATAAATATCTTATTTATATATTTTTTATGTTTCAAAATAAATATTTATTTAAAATATCAATATAATATTTATTATTTTTATTATTATTATACTTTTATTTATTAATTTTCACACTTTTTAACATTCCGTTAACTCTAATAAATAGAAATATTTTAATAAATGATATTAACTTTTTCATTAAAATTAATATATTTAATTATTTTCTTAACAACCGCTCAAAATTGAAATAAGATATTTATTATGATAAAGGAAGTAATGTTTTTTTTTCATCTAAAGTAAGTGGCGTTTATATTATTACATTCATCATAACAAAACTTAACTTGATGAAGTATATTATTCTAGTTATTTTTAAAATATTAAATTTAGTTGGATGTAAGATTTTATAATATTTCTAAGAATCCTTTATAAAAGTCAAAGTGCATAGAAAGAGACAGATATGAAAATAAAATAATAAAAAGAAATCACATGTATAAATTTTATTCCGACTAAAAAGTAATTAATTGATCTCAATTCTCTCACAATAATATTTCTATTTTCCATTGCATGTTTCTTTTGCATATTCAACACACGAAAATTCTTCTCAATGGAATTGGAACCAGCCAAATTCATATTATCATTTCTATTCTTATTACTAGCCTCTAAATTCTTCACTACAGAATCAAAATGTAGCAAAACTTGTGACATAGCTTTAGCTTCTTATTATCTATGGTATGGTTCAAATCTCACATATGTTTCAAAAATCATGCAATCCAACCTTGTCACAAAACCTGAAGATATTGTCAGCTACAACACAGACACAATCAAAAACAAAGATTTGGTCTTATCTTACACAAGAGTGAATGTTCCATTCCCTTGTGATTGCATCAATGATGAATTTCTTGGTCACACATTTCAATACCATGTTGGAACAGGAGATACTTATTTGTCTGTTGCTAATAGGAATTATTCAAATTTGACAACTTCTGAGTGGTTGCATAGCTTCAATACCTATCAACCTGATAATATTCCTGATACTGGAACTCTTAATGTTACTGTTAATTGTTCTTGTGGGAATAGCCATGTTTCTAAAGATTATGGTTTGTTTATTACTTATCCTCTTAGAATTGAAGATTCTTTGAAATCGATTTCGAATAAGACTAAAGTTGATGCTGAGTTGTTGCAGAAGTATAACCCTGGTGTGAATTTTAGTCAAGGGAGTGGTTTGGTTTATATTCCTGGGAAAGGTACAGTCTTATTTTGCTGCTACGTATGTTTTGGTCTTCTGGAATGATCAATTCATGACGTTCTTGTGCATACCGTTAAATTAGCTTTCATTTATGCATTAAACTGATTAAAGGGTACTCGATATTTATCATTTTACTTCGGATTTGTGAAACTATAGATAGAATCGGGATTTTGAAAAAGGACAAAACTTAAGTCTATTTTCTTTTACAAAGCACAAGCACCTCTAAGAGTAAAGTCACAGTGTCCAATTGTCTGATACTTGTATGACATCTGTCAACTCATGTCGTAAAAGTTAGACAAGTTTCTCCAAATAAAATATTTTTTTGATTCGACACTCTTTAAATTGGTGTATGACTCTCATACAACATCTATTAAGAGAAGAATTTCAAAAAGAATTTGTATTGTCTTTGCTTCAACACACGTTATACATTTAAGAGTTTGTCTAGTCTTGTAGCATCATGCTTCTGTTTATAGTTGTGTATCCGTTTGTTCGACTTCTTTACACGAATGTAATTTTGGAACATTATCTCACGTTTTATTTTCTCTTCAATTTCCAGACACAAATGGTAGCTATGTGCCTTTTCACACAAGGTAACTTCTTTTTTTTTTTTTTACTCACATGAAGTTTAACAGTTTTTCATACTCTTATAACATTTTAATCTTGATGGCCTTGTTTTCGTTTTTCGTTTGCAGCACTGAAGGTTAGTTTCAAGTTTCAACCTTCTAACTATACAGCAAGTTGTTTCATTAATGATCGATAATACATGAACGTGACATTCATATTAGATAAGGTAAAGATGTCCTTGAAGTAGAATGCTAATCTTCTTCCATCTCATACCACATATTTTTTCGACATAATCAGGTCTATCAGGTGGAGTTATTATTGGAATATCTCTTGGAGCAGTAGCAGGAATAATGCTATTAGGATTTTGTATTTATATTACATGTTACCGGAAGAAGAACATACGGAATCAAGAATTTCTCTCAGAAGAAACCAGCGCGATTGTTGAAGTGTCTGGTAATGCTACATATGGAACTTCAGATTCTCTGAGTCCTGCTAATATCATTGGCATTAGGGTGGAAAAATCAGGGGAGTTTTCATATGAAGAACTAGCTAATGCTACGAATAACTTCAATTTGGCTAACAAAATCGGTCAAGGAGGTTTCGGTGAAGTCTATTATGCCGTGTTGAATGGCGAGGTTAGTAATCAGTTTTTTAGTTTTAACTTTCGATTATGTTAGATATGATAATGCCTTAAGGATAAAGCTGAAGTTCTATCTAACTACCCAGAAAGCTGCAATAAAAAAGATGGACATGAAAGCATCAAAAGAATTTCTTGCTGAGCTTAAGGTGTTGACGCGTGTTCATCACTTGAACTTGGTAAATCTTATGAAAATAATTTGTATCGTCTGTTATAGAAATCGTTAATACACAAGCAGTTATTTATATGATTGTCAATTGATGATCATGTATAGGTACGGTTGATTGGATATTGCGTCGAAGGATCGCTTTTCCTTGTGTACGAATACATTGATAATGGAAACTTAAGTCAACATCTTCGCAGTTCAGGTGATATACGCACGTCTACTGATGCATTAATTAATGTGATTATAGTTAATGATGACTATATAATATAATGATCAAGTAAAAATATTTTCAGATGGAGAACCTTTGTCATGGGTGGCCAGGGCTAAAATTGCTCTGGATTCAGCAAGAGGTCTTGAATACATTCACGAACATACCGTGCCTACTTATATTCATCGTGACATAAAGTCAGAAAACATTTTGTTAGACAAGAACTTCTGTGCTAAGGTACATTCTGTTTCAATAATTTCTCGAGCTCGTTTGTACTTTTCTTTTTGTTAAATTCTGAGAGGCCCTTTATTATTTTATATATCAGGTTGCAGATTTTGGATTAACCAAGCTGATTGACGCTGGAAGTTCATCAGTTCCTACTGCTAATATGGCAGGCACATTTGGTTACATGCCACCAGAGTATGATTAAAACTATGTTGACCTCTTTTATGATAATATCAAATTGTAGATAACTCACAATTCTCACGCAGTTAGAACATAGGTGATCGTTGAATCAAGATCTGGCAGGCAATATTTCATACTCATTATTTTAGAGTAACAGATCATCGAAACGTGTCTGGTTTCTGCATTGTCTGATCTCGATCCAACGACCATCAACATGTTGACCTCTATAATACGTGAATTCGTGGTTGGAGCAAATCCAAATATGTCTTCGCCACACTAGTAAATAGTGAAACTGAAAACACTTCACTTTTACATAATACAAACTTATTGACACCTATTTCTTATAATATTGTAGATATGCATATGGAAGTGTTTCTTCCAAAATAGATGTATATGCTTTCGGAGTTGTTCTTTATGAACTAATTTCTGCTAAAGGAGCAGTGATAATGGGTGGTGAATCTGGTGCAGATTTAAAAGGCCTTGTAGTTTTGGTAATTCTCGACTCTAACATCTAAAATATTTTCAAATGAAAGTCTAGGATTTTAATTTGAATTGTATTGTTTGATTATTTTGGGTGACATGAGTGGCAGTTTGATGAAGTTTATGACCAACCAAATCCTATAGAAGGTTTTAGAAAGCTGGTGGATCCTAGGCTAGGGGATAACTATTCAATTGATTTAGTTTTAAAGGTATGAATTACCATATCATTAAATTTTGAAATTTTTTGGTGATTCTGATTTGAATAAGATTGAGCAATTTGTTACACTTGCAGATGGCACAACTTGCAAAAGCATGCACAGAAGGTGATCCACAAAAGCGTCCAAATATGAGCTATGTTGTAGTTGCTCTGACTACATTAACTTCAACTACTGAGGAATGGGATATCACTTCTATATACAAAAATCCAAATCTTGTAAATTTAATGTCAGGAAGATAGATATGATATGAGTAGGAATTTAGAGTATAAATGTTAACAACGATTTCTCAATCCATATCCAAAAATAAAAGCGGCAATTTAAATCTGCAGGCGTTCAATGATTCCATAATTCATACTTGGGGAAGTATAGAACTAATAGTCTCTTTAGGAGAAGGAAGGGACGTAAGAGCAGTAGAAATGCAATTCTTGATATTCCCTTGTGAAAGCATCTACAACTGCATTCTAGGGAGACTTTTCTTCGCAAAACTCGACATTGTCGCTTAGACCGTCTACCTATAGATGAAGTACCAAAACATCTATGATGAACCAATTATCATCCATGCTAAGCCATCTAGAGTCTGCTCGATAAATGAAACACTTTGAAAGATCCAAGTTCCAAAAAAACCTACCTAGAATAGTAAAGATAGAAATCAGTTTAGCGGCCCTAGTAGTTCTAGTGAGTAACATTTTACAATGGTCTCTAATTCTCATTTGATTTATGATTTATGATAAGGTAAAAAGAGAGATTATTATATCTCATAGATACAATTAAGCTAGTCTTAGTTGTTATGCTTTAAATGTGCATGTCTCATAAACAAGGACCTTAAGGGAGTTATTCTAAAGAAAAGAGACTTAAAGATGGTTAACCATACTTGTGAGTTTGTTAGGTTATCTAAGCAAAAAATGGCTCTTATGTGCAAGTGGAAAGATCAAAGTTCAAATATTGTTTAGACATGATCAAGGTTCTTGATAGTGATTTCATTATTATAGAGAGAAAAAAGATGTTTGATGGTTAATTTTGCACCATCATCGGGTTTTAGTTAAGGTGGAAATTTGTGGAACTGTGTCTCAAAATCTTAAGTGATAAAGAAAGGAAAACATGTTTCGAGACAGTCAAAAATCAAAACCGCAAAAAGTATGAGGCAATTAGAAGGAGGTGGTGGAGCAGTGGAGCATCAGTTCGACGAGTATCTGATAGTGGTGGTGAAGGCTTTGGAAGACGACGATCGAACACCTATCGATGCAGCTGTGACGATGATTTGGGTGGTTCGCAGATCAATTTGGCGATTGGTCACTTTTATGGCTTGTTTCAGATCATTAGGGGTTTGACAATCGTAAATATGTATCTTTATCACTTTCGGTCATTAAGAGAAGAAGATAGAGGGAAGAGGTGATAGTCCTAGTTTGAGAGGAAAAGATAGAAATTCCTTAGAAATTTTGAAATTTGAAAAATCTTTGGAGGTATCTAAGAGGATTGAGAAACACTTTTAAACACCTTGGATTTATGTGCTTCATATATAGAAAGTTGAAAAGAATGGGACAATTTTGGATAGAAAATTGGGTTTATTTTTGGAAACTCTGGTGACTATTTCTTGTAACTCAATTGCAATCTATTGTAATAACTTTTAGAAGTATAAATCAGAGAGCTTCTCTTTCTGAAAAGTAGATTGATATGATCGAACTAGATAAACAAATATATTTGCGTACTACTATTTTATCTTCCTCTTACTTACTTGTTGTAGATTTGCTTAACATTGTTTGACGAATTATTTTATTATTTAAGATCATTTATTTTAGATGTTGTTTGCCCAAACATCATTATTCTCAACAAAGTTAATCATACTCTTAAGTTTTTAATGAAAAAGTCTTTGTGTAGTTGAATCTTTCAATTTCTCAACAAATTTTTTGGGAATTTTTTAACTCATCTCATAGTTTTCTAGCACACCACGCGAAAATACAAAAATGCCTCTGAAAATCATAAATGAGTTTCTGGTACGCACATGTTGGATGGAATTTCGAAGGTACATGATTTGGAAGAAGTAAGAGGATGTCGAAGAAAGATTATTTTTACAAAGGGAAAGTAGAGGTTGTTATATTTCGTTTTCTATTGACTGACCAAGTAAGGGTTGGTAATTAGCGAAGTCTTAGTATTATGGAATGTATAAAGACTTAAAGATATTTCAAGTTTCGAATTCAAATAATTCGACAGATCATATCATGATGTTTGGCGCTTTGGATCAAAAGTGGATTTGAATTCAAATGTTTTATTCTTATCCAGAAGGACGTGTGGACGCCTGAGGTTTTGAGAAAGCATGCAGCGTCGAACGCGACACTTCTATAGTGAAAGACCGTTATGGCCGAAGTAGTATAGATTAGGGTCTTAATGATAGATTTTAGTGTGTTCACTTTTGTGCAAATTACTCATAAAAATCGAAGTACCATTGTTTAGAGAAAAGATTCTTTGAGAATGTATGTATGAATCACCATATTTCAATTAATTGTAAGTTTATATTTACCATAATCTCTTTCATTCCTTTTATTTTTAAGTCGAAGTATTTTTATTTTCCTATAGTCACTTTACGTAGAATTTTTGTCCTTTACACTTTAATCATAACCTTTGAAAAGATGAACATTCGAAAGATATAAACCAACGAAACACAACACATGTCCTAGGGTCAATCTAGTTAATCCTGTAAGTTACCAGAATTTCTAGAATTCAGAAGACTAGCGGTTGTTTACCAATTTTTCAAAGTAAACAAATTGGCACACCCGGTGGGACGGTGTCGTGTTCGTGTCACAAACTCTTTGTTTTGTGTTTATTTTAGTCTATCTTGTTTGATATTATTATATGAGATTAAGGAATGGAAATTAGCCAAAAATAACTGAATAATTCCAAAAAGAAAATATACTAGGAAGATGCTTAACCCACCATCCAATAACAATGGAGAATAACCACCCCCTTCGACAGGGGAAAGTACGGCTGCATTGTTTGCAATAGAGTCGATACTTGTTCAAGCAAACACAATGAGAAGATCGACAAACGCTTTCAATGGTGCAATCTTGTCCCCAGTGCAGACAAAAGGTTCCCCATTGAACACAAGGCCACCAGGGACGAATAATTTCAAACATTTTGGATATGGATTCATAATGCCAATGGATGGTCGTGAACAAACATATGGGATGCCAACATCAATAATGGGAAGCCTTAACAATAATAATTCAACATTTCCTAATCCAAGATTGTAAACATTTTCACTAGTACAAGGATCAAGACCAGGAGTCAACAATATGAGTCGAAATGACCCTCCCCCAGGTTTCGTTTCACAGTTGCCTAACTTAACAACAAATTCTGCAGCGGTGTTTCGACAACAAATGGATGACAACAACCATGAAATTGTTGGTGTTTTATCTTAACAAATAGGAACTATTTTAATCCTCTGATTCAAAGTGCTAATGATAAAAATCAACAGAACGCACGAATGAATCAACAACTAGTAGTGCAAATGGCGCAAATTGTAGACTTCTTTGGCGCTCATAGATCCCAAGTTCAACATCCTAGGCGATAATGGATAAGGTAAAACCAAGGAATGGTTCTCGAAGAAAATTAAACAGTCAATCAGGCACCACCAATTGCACAGAATATTGGTGATGTCAACCAGTAGTGAAGGATTGAACAACCCAAGGTCTAATAAGCGATGCCAAGGGAAGAACCAGCCCCAAGGATAGTCATGGTGAATCAAAATCAGGATGCATATGAAGTTCTTCAACGAGTTTGACAAGACGAATACCCAAGGGAGAATAACCTAGCGGTCATGGTAGAAAGAATAATGGCTTGAAATGGGGTAAATTTGGACCTTCGAAGGACAAACTATACGCCCCATTTGTCTGAATACGTTTTACAGACAAAGTTACCTAGGGGATTGAAAGTCCCAAAGTTCACAAAATTCTCTTGTGATACTAGCGAATCTATTGTCGAACACATAGCCAGGTATCTTACCGAGGCTGGGGACATAAAGAATAATAAGAATCTAAGAATTAAATATTTCCCTAGTTCGCTAACAAAAAATTCATTTGCATGGTTCACTACACTCCCAGCAGAGTCCATCCATGATTGGACTCGCTTAGAGAAGCTATTCCATGAGCAGTTTTACACGGGAAAATCAAAGCTTAGTCTCAAGGTATTGGCTAGTATTAAAAGAAATTTTACAGAGTCAATTGATGATTATTTGTACAGGTTCCACTTATTTAAGGCAAGATGTTTTACACAAGTATCTGAACATGAGTTGGTCGAAATGGCCGCAAGCGGGTTAGATTATTCCATTCGAAAGAAGTTAGATACCTAATACTTAAGAGACATGGCCTAATTAGCATATAGAGTTCGACAAGTCGAACGATTGAAGGCTGAAAAGACTAGGGAAAATAAGAACAATAGAAAAGAAAGGGTGGCATATATCGAAGTCGAAGAGGACGGCAAGAGGTCTATAGTGATCCTATAGGTTTCAAAGAAAGTGAAGTGGACTTGGCTGAATTAAAGTAAGCCCTGCCTTATCCTTGTAATACCTTAGCCCCTTCGAATGGGAAGAACCCTGTCGAACTTGAGAAAAAGATAAGTTCCCTAAGAAAGCATACACCTTCGACATAATGAAGTGTGACGAAAATTTTGATGTATTGGTAAAGGACGGCTAGATGATTGTGCCACCTAGTACCAAAATTCCTCCAATAGAACAACGGAAGAAAAGAGGTTTTTGCAAATATCATAATTTTTTAGGACATAAAACCTCACATTATTTTCTTTTCAGGGATTTGTTTTGAAATGCTATCAAACAACGGTAGATTGAAGTTTGGCAAGAAAGCTAAGATGAAAGTTGACTCTGATCCCCTGCAGACGGTAAAAAACTTACTATGTTAGGCATTCCGACATCAATATGGTGGAAGTCACTGAGAGCCCCATTAACAAGCAACATGGGGCTGAAATCACTGATGGTTTCTCTATAGGTATCGAAAAGAAGGAGGCTACTAAAGGAATCACCAAAGCTGTCGAAGATGCTGAAATAAATAAGGCTACTGAAGGCCTTAGAGTCAAGTTCCAGAAGGTAAGGATGACTGACGGTCCAAACCTTGAAGTCAACATGGTCGAAATGAATCAACATGCTGAAAGGAATGAGACATAAAGACGTACTCGACAGGAGAAGGAACAAATAAAGAAGGTATATCCAAGAACTGACGAAAGTCTTTTGGAC